AGAGAGAGAAAGACAGAGAGAGAAAGAGAGAGAGAGAGACAGAGAGAGAGACAGAGAGAGAGACAGAGAGAAAGAGAGAGAGAGAGAGGGAGAGAGAGAGAGGGGGAGAGAGAGAGAGAGAGAGAGAGAGAGAGAGAGAGAGAGAGAGAGAGAGAGAGCATATTATTATCCGTTTTTATTTCTTGTCATTGTTCCCGTTCTTCAGAGATCACTGTAGTGAGACCAATCTCATGGATCATCTGTGTGCCTTTTTTAACGTAATGATAACAGGTCTATATTAATATTTTAGTAAGTGTTTTACCGCACTTGCAACACAATATGGTCATATAAGTAAAGTGTCGAAGATTAGAGGTGTTACAAGAGAGTTACAAACACAAAGAAGAAGGAGGGGAGATACAGACGATATATCTTTGGTAGGAAAGAAGCTGAAGCGAACCACACCAGATCACCCGCCAACCACCCACGATAATAGGTCTAAAACATTACACGTCATAGGTCTAACACATTACACGCAGAATGTGAACCACAACCCCCCCCCCCCTCCACCGGGGCGGTGCTACTGACTGAGGTGTCTTTAGGCCATTCCAAAATGGGGGACATTAATATGTTCTTATGCTCAGTAGAATTATAAATGGGCTGATTCATCAATGCCATGCTCATAACTGTGCCTGAACTGCAACGGGGAACTGCTGCTTTTTCTTTCCTAATCCTTACAATCGTCATTTGTCCTCTACTTCTTTTTTATATTTGTCACACTTTTGTGACCCGCTATTTCCGGGGTGCCTTGATAGTCAAAGCAGACCTTGTGCTGTTGAAGCTAGAGAGGTGAGCAGAGTAAGCCTGATTCCCTGTAAGGACTTCTCTGTTGACATCCACTCCCTGGCGCTCATATGACTTTATGCAATTACGAGCGCTGTAAAACCTCTACTAAATCTAAAACCACAACCACATCTTTTAAAACATATGCATTACTGATATAATGATGGCCTGGACGGACACCCAGTCAGGAAGAGAGAGAGGGGGGAGGAGAGAGAGGGGGGGACAGAGAGAGGGAGAGAGAGA